TAGGGTAGGTTTAGCGTTAGGTTTAGGGTAGGTTTAGCGTTAGGTTTAGCGTTAGGTTTAGGGTAGGTTTAGCGTTAGGTTTAGCGTTAGGTTTAGGGTTATTTTTAGGGTTATGTTACAGCACGCTTCTGTCGGCGCGCTGTTGTCGGCGCGCTGTTGTCGGCGCGCTGTTGTCGCGCGGTTTTGACGGTGCGGTTTTGTCACCACGCTTTAGTCTACCGCGGTTTTGTGGTGGAACCATAAAGCAGCATCAGGTGCATTGGCCTTCAAAACCCCACCTTATTCTTTTTTCTGGGCGTTGAAACAGTCACATTTTTTTTTTAAATGAGGATATCCATTTTAGAATTAGAAATGATGGGATTTTATAGAAGTTACAGCTGGAGCTCCTTTATAAACCAGAGCGTTAATTAAAAAAGCTGTGTGTATGTTAATGTTTTGGTCATGATTTCAAGTCATTTGCCTCAAGTGACAACGGAGAAGAAAGCTACATATAGGGAAAACTTGCTGCGTCTCCTGCATTCAATAGAAAATCAGAGTCATGATTTCTGCTGATAGGAAGGACTGGCCTTCTGCCAAATGTCAGAATATTTCTGTGGAAACTGACAAGCTGACATGTTGGAAAAAGAAACACCCTGAGATTTGGCTGTGGAATCTCTTCCTCGGAATAAAGGGCATGAACTCATGAGATTATGTTCCAGCTCCTCTGTGTTATAGGACTTGTGCAAGTATCCAGTTTGGCCTCCCTGGGAACATTCAAGAGCAATATTTAAAAAAAAAAGACTGTCATTTAGATGGCTTTCCAAAAGAATAATGTTTGTTGATGAAAATGTGTGACCCAGGATATACTCTTTTTCTTCCTGTTTCTTGGTTTGAGGTTAAGATCTGTACTTGCATTCAGAATTCCCTTCTCCTGGTTTCTTAGTAAGCATTTAGTGAGTTTCCCAGTTGGATATAAAGGGAAGTAAATTCAACAAGTATCAGCCTGCCCAGTTAGGCCAGGTAAGAAGTACGACCAGATGAGCTAATTCTAATTTATTATAAAGCTACAATAACAGAATCTTGCATATCTGAAAGTACAAATCCCCCACCATCTCTTTTACAACCTGAGAAGCTAGAGAGGTTCTTTCTGTGCCTCCTCCATCCTTTGTGGGGCTGTGGGCTAAGGCATCTCTTATCTGATGCTTCTCTAGGCAGCATCCCCACACACACACTGCTTCTCAAGAGCTTTCTCATTTCCCACTATAAAATGCAACAAATGAAGGGGAATAAAAAAGCTAGCCCAAACTGAACCAGTTTATTAAGAACATTTTTAAAGCCGCACTTTTAAATCTACACTCCCAAATATAATCACAAATTACATCTACACTTGCCAGTTGTTGCTTAACTTCCTTTTTCTAATCCTGTGTCTGTGATGTAGTTTATCAAATAACATTTAGTTATGAAATTTCTGTTTACAGTGAATAAAATCTGTAATAGTATAGAAAATCTCCAGGCATATTTATTAAACTGGTAAACCTCTCAGCCTAAAAAAGTGATCCTATGGAATTAAGCTTCAATGTTTATGACAAGATAAGCAATTCGTTTAGCTCCTTGAACCATAATTCCCAGTTTTCCTTTATTAAAACAAAATCTCAACATGGCTCTAAAATTGTATTTCTGGAATAGGATTCAATAGTTTTAGGCGGGTTTCAACCTCTTATATGAGATGAAATTTCTTCTTGTGTATTCATTCATACAGCTTATATATTTCCAAAATAGAATAAGATCAAAAAATGCAGCCTGATGTTGTCATTTTATCCAATTTAACAGAATGACTGCTAGGAGTGACTTTTCCCCAACTATACAAAACTCAATTCTTTTTCAAACAACCTTCCTATCTGAATCTTGCATTCATTGGAAATGTTTCTCCCTCAAGCCAGCCATGTCCATTTCAGCATTTTATTATGCAAGCATATGGCGGTACCGGTCCCCCCCCCCCTCTTAAACACTGATATCCAAAGGGCTAAACAGAATAGAGAATTCTTATTTCTGCTTGAAACAGAAATCACACTGACCTCAGATAAAGTATCCAGAATGTATCTTTTATTATATGAACCTAGGGTTTTATTAAAGTCAGTAACTTATTACTATAAAACAACACAGCGATATTTGTATATTTTTTGGAGTAGTTTGCAAAATAATTTCCCCAAAGATTGCAAGAGCTAAAGTGCTTTTTAAATAAATGGACAATGCACTCTTCCTTTACCATGTGGTGCCAGACTGGCACCACATGATAAAGGTGGTGACAGTTGTAAGAAAACCTGAGACAGGTGTGCAAGGCTTGGGCTCTGGCAGAAGATAAAGTAAGAAGGTACAGGTTAAATTAACACTCATTTTAAGTATTATTGTCCCAGCTCCTGTTCCTGCTCAAATAAAGTTTTAAGAAATCTTAAAAGAGCCACAGGCTTCCTTTGTTCAGTCCAATGTCTTGGTGATGATTCTTGCCCCCAAATGGTTTAGAAACACGATCAGGTGATTAGATGGCTACATCTTCCAATTGACAGGGTTGATGACTTCCCTAAAACAGAGGAAATGGAGTTCAGCCTCTTCCCTAAAGAGGAATAAACTGAAGTTCATCATTCTCTGTCAGAGCTCTACCTGGGTCTCTGACTTTGGGGCCTCCAGGGATTCAATAGCAAGTAGTAAAAGTACTTTGCTACTTTTCCAGTTGTATCCAACTCTAGGAGACAGTGCTGATCACCGTTTCCTAGCTGAGGGAGCCAGAATTGTCCTAAAATATTTCTATGGTCATCTGGCCAGCATGACTGTATGCTGGGGATGGAATGCTGTTAACTTCTAAGCGAAGTGGTACTTATTTATCTACTCACATTTGCATGCTTTCGAACTGCTTAGGTGGGCAGGAGCTGGGGCAGGTAATGGGAATTCACTCCATCATGCAGTGCTTAGGTGTCGAACCTGAGCTGTCAGCTCTCCTGCTGAGAAGCTTATTGTTTTTAACCACTGAGTCATTGTGGCCCCTTAGCAGTAACATGGGTGAATGTAGCAGGGGTGAAATGCTACCGGTTCAGGCCAGTTCCCCCGAACCAGTAGTAAAAAATGCTTTTAAAATGTTTTTTAAAAGTTCCAACGATTAGCTGTGCTACAATCAGCTGTGCTGCACAATTTGTATTTGCTGCAAAGCAGGAAATCCTGCTTTCTAGCGAATCTAAATCGCACAGCACAACTGTTCCCCCCCCCACTGCTGTTCTATTTACTTTTGCAGACTCAGAAAAGGCTCCTTGGCGCCTGCGGTGCGCATTCATGTGAAGCAAACCAGTAGCATACTTCAGAGCATTTCAATCCTGCATACAAGTAGTATGTCAGCAAAACTGCCCTTGGGACCTTTCTCCCAGTAACAAGGATCACTAAAGCATGTTATTAAATTGGATTAAATTGATAAGTAGAAATACTAATTATGGATAAAATGTAGCAGATAAGTCTGTCCACTGGGAAAACAAAATGCCCACAAGCATGATGAATTCATTGGATTTTTGGGCTTCCTCCATTTATGGAGTGAAGTAGACAGAACAGAAAGGATTTCCCCCAATGAGTAAATGGAGCTTTGGAAATTTATCTTACAAGAGTACATTCCAAGACAATGTTGTAGGACTGATGGTGGTGAGCATCACTCAGAGAAGAATCACCCGGCATGTCTTGCACAAAGGAGGAAAAAAATATAACATTTTCAGTAAGTTAAATAGGTGAATACAACACTATCTTCAGTTTCATATATTGGCTTCTGTTTCGTGCATAAAAAATGGGTAAAAATGATTTATTCAAACCATAATTGGGTACTAAACGAAGAGAGCAAAGAAAGGTCAATGAAACATCTGCTATTATTAACTATTCCATTTGGATAAAGATCTAGATTCCAAAGCTTATTTCTGCAATGTTAAAATATGATGTGAAAGAATCTGATTTCTTTACCTGGAAAGAATTCATCCAGCGAAGAGAAGGAGGCAACGAAGCATTACTCTGAGATAGTATCAACAGAAGTTCCAAACAGGTTTTTGATGGAAATGTGAGGGGAGAGACTCCAATATCTTCCCTCCATGCATCAACAAGACTGGAATGAAACAAGAATCATGTTACCTGCCAATGTAATATGCAGGGAATTTAAACTTTCAATAAGTAAAAAACAATAAATGTTACCTATAAGCAGATTTAGCTACACAGAAATAGAGCAATGGATATAATGCTCTCTTGTTAAAATCTTATTCAATTACTTAAGCGGTTGGCATGTGATCGTTAATGCCTAATGAGATCATATTTACTTTTGTATTCCATTTACAGGAGTAGTGGACTAAGTGCATTAAGACTCTTAAGATGTATCAGAAGATGGTACTACTGGCATCCCCAGTGTTGTCCTGGTTTCTGCCATGATCCTTGCTCCCTCTGTTCTTTGATACAAAAGTATAGAAACTAGCATTCTACAAAACTAGGCACATGCATGGGGTATCTTTATTTATAAGGATGATCCTTGGATTCATTTATTTTCTTAGAACTGTTTTCTTTTAAGGGGATCTGTTCCACTTGCTTCAGAATGTTCCTATCTATCCAGAAAAAATGTGCCAAAAAGGGGAGGAGGGGAACCCAGGACTCAAACAAAGCATAGTGCATGAGAAAGACATGAGAAGTAATTTTTTAAGAAGGCCCATTATACATTCCCAAATGTTGCTGGGAGTCAAATGATATATAAATTATTATGGTTGGTCATACAATCAATCAGATGTTTAGGCTGGATTTGGACATTTTTTATCTACCTATCGAGTCCTTTTCAGGGACCTGGGGATAGGCAGATGTTGTAGTTTGATGGTATTAAAATATCATCATAGGATGTAAGCTTTTCCATTTTGCAATTCCCTGATGGTGATTTTGTTAATGCTGATGGGTGTTCAAATGGTGCTCCAGAGATTGTACCCAAGGCACCTACTATTACTGGTACTATCTTTGCCCTTATTATTATTATCATTTTTTGCAACAGTCACTCTATGTCTATTTCTAAGTCTTTATGCTTAGACTTTCTCCACTTCTTTCACCGTTATTTTGCTGTCTTTAGATATTGCAATACCCACTAGCCAATCTTTTTCTTAGCTTTCTTATCAACAACTGTTAAGCCTGGGGTATTGTGTAGCAGATGTTTATCTGTTTGAATTCTAAAGTCCCAGAGCATCTTGTTTTTTAAATTTTCTATTACTTTATCTATTTTTTTCATTGCATCATTTCTTCCTTGCAGGCAAGCGGTATTTCTTGCAAATATTCCAGTGCACTACTGTTTATCATGCCATTGCTTGGACTTAGCCTGTGTGATCTTTTTGCAGCAGCTAATTAGGTAGTTCATTGTGTCTTCAGCTGCTTTGCAGAGGAAGCATTTGCTGTCTGTTGCTGTCTTCGCAATTCTGGCTTTGTATAAGTTTGTTTTTAAGGCTTGGTCTTGTGCAGCCAGAATTTGCCCTTCTGTTTCTTTCTTCAGCTCTTCCTTTCCTGCTCTTAACCATTGTTATGCTATGCAAATTGTGTTGTTATCTGCTTTGCCTGCTAGGTTATTTAATGTCCTGGCCATGTAATACTTTGCCTTGCCGTGTCTATTTTCTATTCTCCATTTCAGAGATGTGCTGCTGGGGGTTTGCAGGGTTTCGGGAGAACGTCTAGCTAAGATTCTATGCAGTTCAGATCCCACTCCCACTGGGAGGGTGGGGCCAGGAGTGGGTGTGGCCATCCCACTCCTGGCTGGCCCCACCCACTCTGTCTCACTCCTCCCTGGAGTCTCGATGCAGCCAATTTTGGATACAGGTAAATGCAGGGGGTGCGTGGAGCCTCAGGGAGGGTGAAAAATGGGCTTACCGGACGTTCTGGAAGGCCAGAAACAAGCCCATTTCCAGCCTTTGGAGCGTTTCCGGAGCATGCAGGAGGCTTACTAGGCCATGCCCACCATGGCCAGGCAGCAACCGGTCAGAGAACCCCTTGCTAAAAATTTTGAAGTCCAACCCTGCTCCATTTGATTTTTCTTATAGGTCAGTTTGGCCTCTCCAGTATTTAGTAAGGCTTCAGGATGCACTAGCTTCAATGTGTCTTCAGATATTCTTCCAATGCCCTGTTTTCTTCTTAAATGTTTGTGTACTTGCAACATTCCATCTAAACTCCAATTACACAAAGACAGAAGCTGATATACTTGCACATTAATACCCATTCATCAGTTGTTCATCAGAAAGTCAGAGAAACTGACTTGAAGGAGACACTAATAATTCAATTTTCAAGTGTGATTTAAAATCTTTTTTTAAAATTATTTTCCTTGTTGAACAAATCAGTTTGTTAAAATTTATAAATTAATGAGGGCCCCAAAATACTGGATGGAGACCAGAGCAATAACAAGTGATAAACGTAGAACACTAAAGAGAAATAAATCAAAGGCTTGTTAGGAAGCGTTTGCGACTACTGGGACAATGGTAGGTTGGTTAAAAGAATGGCACATCTTGAGAAAATAATCTATTGATTTTCAAGAGCCATGATGGCGCAGTGGTTAGAATGCAGTACTGCAGGCTAATTCTGCTGACTGCCGGCTGACTGTAATTTGGCAGTTCAAATCTCACCAGGCTCAAGGTTGACTCAGCCTTCCATCCTTCCGAGGTGGGTAAAATGAGGACCCAGATTGTTGGGGGCAATAAGCTGACTCTGCAAACTGTTTAGAGAGGGCTGTAAAGCACTAGATATAAGTCTAGATGCTATTGCAATCTTATAAATAATAACACTCTTTTGTACTTTAGGCATATCATTATTTTATTGCCATAATTGTGTAAAGGATGAGATGCTGTAGCTAAGAAGAAACAGCTAGGGCATGGAAAACCATGGTTTGGGTTTCAACAAAAACATTCAATATTTGTAGGACGATAGGGAGAGAAGATGGGGACTACAGCCAAGAAATTAAAAGACTGCTTGCTCCTAGGGAGGAAGACTATGGCAAATCTAACCAGCATACTAAAAAGCAGAGACATCACCCTGCCAACAAAAGTGAATATAGTCAAGGCTATGGCTTTCCCAGTTGCAATGTATGGCTGTGAAAGTTGGACCATAAGAAAGGCTGAGTGCCAAAGAATCAAGGCCTTTGAACTATGGTGCTGGAGAAGATACCTGTAAGTCCCTTGGACTGCAAGGCAATCAAACCCGTCAGTCCTAGAGTAGATCAACCCTGACTAATCTTTAGAAGGCCAGATCCTGAAGATGTAACTCAAATACTTTGGCCATCCAATGAGAAGGAAGGATTCACTGGAGAAGAGCCTAATGCTGGGAAGGATTGAGGGCAAAAGAAGGGGATGACGGAGAATGAGGTGGCTGGATGGAGTCACTGAAGCGGTAGGCGTGAGCTTAAATGGACTCCAGAGGAAGTAGAGAACAGGAAGGTCTGGAGGAATGTTGACCATGGGTTCACGATGAGTCAGACACGACTTCGCAACTAACAAAGGGAGAAAAGAGTAGAATGAATTCAGTTCAATAGATAGGATTGAAGGATCTTTAATTCTTCCAGATTTGGAGAAAGTTTTTTTAAAAGGAAGTTAGGTCAGTTTTAGTTCATTTCCTATAATATAGTTTGGGAGGAGAGGAGAGGAAACTAGTCCAAATCTTCATCAACATACTTTTTGCTTGACCAACAGCTTTGATAAAATATGCTGTTGTTATTGTTGCTTTAACCACTGTATCTTAAACTCTTGGCAGCTGACAGGGTAAAAAGATGCTTGCTCTGATGGAGTACGCAATGAAAAACAGCCTCCGAGTATTTGTAAACTGCTTACGCCTCAGTCAGATCCTTGAGGTTTACATGAGTTTACATGCTGAACCATTTGATTAAAAATGTGTTTGTATTCACCATACATGGGCAACCTATCCTGCGCATGCAATCCCTGCAGAGTGATGCATGATGACAAATCTCACTCCTTTCAACAGCAGCTCATTATACAGCCTTCTGGAGCATGCACTGATGAATAGAGCCCCATTATGGTGGGATGTCAAGAGATTAAAATCCAAAACGTATCAACACTTCTGCCTCTGTTAAAAATAAGCTGAGGCTGACATTATGAAATCCATCTCCCTTGGAGAAGTGTCTAGCCCAGAGGGGTTGCTAACAATAGTGCAATATTATGAAAGTTAATTACTACTACAAAAGAGTGAGTATGCTTTCAAACTTCCCAGAAAAGAAATCCAAGCGGGTTAAACAAACAAGAATCCCCAGGTGAATGGAGGAAGATGGAGAAAATGCTGGATATTATGAAAGTTTCCCGTTTATCTTGCTGGGGAAGTTGGAAGTATAAATCAAATTAGATTTTATGAAAGCTTTTCCTGTAAAACAGTCCCTCCCACTCCCGTGGGGCTCCCGTGCCCCAACCTAGTTGGCCCCCCAAAAAACCCCTAGTTCGTCCCTCTGGCTTCAAAGTCAGAATGCTAAAGGAATCCATTGTATGTGTTTTGTCCTGTACTGTTTGACTGTTTTGATGAGTTGATTATTTTTATTGGTCATCTTTGGTTGGCTTTTTCCCCCTGTTTTCATATGTAGGCTTCTGTTTTGTTACTCACCCAGTTACTTGATTAAGATTGTGGGGGGAGGAGTTTGCAAAATAAATAAATTAAATAAATCACTGGGTCAAAATGACAATAGTGCTACCCTTGAATTTCTGAAGAAGATATAAAGGTGATATAAAGATATAAGTTATATTTAAACTTTTGAAAGAGATAACCTAGAATAAAGGAGAAAATTCTTGTGAGTAATAACAATTCATCAGTGGAACAGCTTGCCTCCAGAATTTGTGGGTGTTCCATCACTGGAATTTTTTAAGAAGAGGATTCCAACTAAAGCAGGGGATTGGACGAGAAGACCTCCAAGGTGCCTTCCAACTCTTATTCTGTAATAAATATATAATTTTTATAAAGATATAAAATTCAGAACTGCTACAACACTTGGACATCTTCTTAGGTTGTAAGTGGAATCAAATTTGATAGTCTTTTAATTGAGTTGGAAGCTAATTTTTAGGTACCTAGTTTGAAAGTAAAGGAACTGAAAAGGTTTTCTGAACATTC